ATATATATATATATATATATATATATATATATATATATATATGAAAAAGTTTATATAGAGTCGTGGCTCTGAACAATCAAATTTGAGCCTACCACAAAACTTTCACTAGAAGAGGTTGCTTTGATGCTCAAATATCTTCAAATTGATTATCTCGACATCAAGATGCATAGATATGAGGAAAAAAATGGATTTCAAGTTTTGGAAATAGTGTATTTTGTAATGCATTTTTTTAGCATCAAATTTCAATATTTTCAAGTGGTCATAGATCTGTCAATCTACGCTATTTTTTAAGCTTTAAACTTTATGAATAAATATAAAAATATATTTTAAGGCTATCACAAAGATTTCCAATCTTGAAACCACATTTCTCGACACTATTTGAAGGTAGGCTCTAATTTGATGGTTTAGAGCCTAGGCTCTATATAAACCGTACCTATATATATATATATAACATATTTAAAAAAAAAAAATTGGATGGGTCCGGTTCGGGTTTGGATCTTTTATAAACAATTCAGGTTCGGAACTAAGGCCCGGAGACTCTAGACATGGTTGGCTCTAGGTCCCACGGTACATTTTCCCAACCCATTGCCACCCCTAGAGGATCTTCTACCCAACTGACTTACCCAAAAAAAACAAAAAAAAAAAGCCCCTGAAATAGGCAAAGGTTAGAGAGAAAAAACAAGCCTTAGAGGCTTTGGTTCAAAAGGCCGCAAGATACCGAACTAGAAAAAAAAAAGGCTTGTTTAAGACTTGAACTGATGAAAAATTTTGTACACAAGGCTTGTCACTCTTCTTTTATCCTCTCGTTGTTTGATTACTTGGTCGAGTTCTGATGCTCGAAAAACTACCTCTTTATCTTTTATTTTTTACTTTGTATCTTGAGATCCAATGATTGAAAATAATATTTGAACCCAAAATTTTTCCATCTTTTTTATCTGACAACACTTGAACCCTTTTTACCATTATTTTTTTACCCAAACAAAATTTAAAATATCACCTTTTGACACTTGTATCTATCGATTAACAGTAATTTTTAATTTGTTCTCTGTAACAATAATTTTTGTTTCCCTCTTTACCCGCACTCTCTATCCAAACTCCCTCTCTCTCTACCATCTCTCTGCCCAAACTTCTCTCTATCTCTCTCTGGCCAACTCCCTCTCTCTCTCTCTCTTTCTTTTTATACCTGAACTCCATCTCTCCCTCTCTTACAAGCTGTTCTCTCACCCAAACTTCCTTTCTCTCGCTAAATTTTCATTGTATTTCACTAAATATTCGTTCTCGTATCATCTGAATTGAATTCGTCCCCGTTTTTACCTCACAACCCTAATTCGACTTCCATTTCCATTATAAACGAGTAAGGCAAGATCACTTTCATGGAGCAGCAAAAGAAGATCGCATGATCTCGTAATTTTTAACTAATTGTGGGTTTTGAGAATTTTTGCAGACGAACAACAAGTTGTTCTAAGGGGGAGAGCAGAGTCGTTAACATGAAACACGGAGAGAGAAATCGGCTTATTATGAGTGTGAATAAAAAATCAAACAAGGACATGGTGTGTGTGATTTGCAGTTGAGCCAATTACATGAAGATATTTACGATTTTGAAAGCCTATCTAGTAGAAAGAGAGAGAGCACTCCAAGAACAATGAAGAACGAAGCCCGATCACTTTATTCTTTATTTTGGAAGCTAACAAAGTGACAGGGCAGAGACAAGCAAAGTGAAAGTTTTTAGAGAGAGAGAGAGAAAGTGTAGAGGGAGGTTAAGAATGTGACCGCATAGAGAGAAAGTGCAGAGTGATTTACTATGTAATAACAATGTGAAAAGGTAGAGAGAGAAAGTGTAGAGAGAGGTTAAAAATGTGATAGTATAGAGAGAAGTTGTAGAGAAATAAAGTATAGAGAGAGGTTAAGAACGTGACAGTAAAGAGAGAAATTGTTGAAAGAGAAAGATGATAGAGATTATTATGTTTGGTTAAAAATATGACAGTATAGAGAAAGTGTAGAGAGAGAAAGTGATTATTGTGTTTGGTCACACTGGAGTGGGAACCGGATCGTAGGACTTATAATTAAAATCAAGGTGTGTGCATCCAAAATTAGGGTTGTGAGGTCCAATTACTTATGAATCTCCTCTTTATACTTCAGATCAGCGTTTTAAAAATCGCCGAGTCGAACCGGACTCGCCC